GCTGTATGTGTACTGCACTGTATTTTCTGATATGTTTTTTACTGCCCTTGGACCTTCCATGTAAACGAGGCCTAACCGGCCAAGTTATAGTGCAAAAATGTGAGTTAGAACATTGCCATAAACCATTAAATGGTAATGGGTATGCTTACAGTGGTCAGATTTTATTAATTTAGATAAAACTTTTATCCCAAAAACAGAAACTGTTTCTGTAACTGCTTATAACGTGTCAGCTGGAGTTTGGCTTTAATTTGTTGTTAACTTATGTAAAGTCCAACTACATCTACAAGTCTATCTAACACTACCCTCTCTACAGGTTGACACTGCTGCTGCCCAAGCGTGGCTAAATTGCTTATCCATAAATAGAGTGGAGGAGTGATTGTAGCCACCCTAAGATAGGAAGTGTTACTAACTGGATCATCAGGTGAAAACAGGGGACCAAAGGCCTAAAAAACGGAAAATAATGCAGCCACCACGTTCAAAGATTGGTAAGCTGCATATTAGTTTTTTGGTTTTTTTTCTTTGTCTATTGTGGGTTTAGATAAGCTTTAACATGTTAATGACATACACTATATTGCCAAAAGTATTGGGACACCCCTCCAAATCATTGGATTCTGGTATTCCAATCACCTCCATGGCTGCAGCTATATAAAATCAAGCACCTAGGCATGCAGACTGCTTCTACAAACATTTGTGAAAGAATGGGTCGCTCTCAGGAGCTCAGTGAATTCAAGCGTGGTATTGTGATGGGTTGCCACCTGTGCAAGAAGTCCATTCGTGAAATTTTCTTGCCACTAAATATTCAACGGTCAATTGTTAGTGGTGTTGTAACAAAGTGGAAGCAACTGGGAACAACTACTCAACAACAAAGTGGTAGGCCACACAAAATGGCGGAGCGGGGTCAGCACGTGCTGAAGTGCGCAGAAGTCTTTCAATTGTCTGCAGAGTCAATAGCTGGAGACCTCCAAACTTCGTGTGGCCTGGTTTAGCACAACAACCGTACGTAGAGAGCTTCATGGAATGGGTTTCCATAGCCGAGCAGCTGTAGCCAAGCCTTACATCGCCAAGCGCAATGCAAAGCATCGGGTGCAGTGGCATAAAGCACGCTGCCACTGGACTCTAGAGCATTGGAGACGTGTTCTCTGGAGTGACAAATCACACTTCTCTGTCTGGCAATCTAATGGACGTGTCTGGGTTTGGCGGTTGCCAGGAGGAATGGTACTTTCCTGACTGCATTGTGCCAAGAGAAAAGTTTGGTGGATGGGAGATTATAGTGCGGAGTTGCTTTTCAGGGGTTGGGCTTGGCCCTTTAGTGTCAGTAAAGGGAACTCCTTAAGGCTTCAGCATTCCAAGACATTTTGGACAATTTCATGCTCCCAACGTTTGTGAGAACAGTTTGGGGATGGCCCCTTCCTGTTCCAAAATGACTGCACCAGTGCACAAAGCAAGGTCCATAAAGACATCTATGAGTGAGTTTGTGGTACAGGAACTTGACTGGCCTGCACAGAGTCCTGACCTCAACCTGATAGAACACCTTTGGGATGAATTAGAGCGGAGACTGCGATCCAGGCCTTCTCCTCTGACAGTGCCTGACCTCACAAATGCGCTTCTGGAAGAATGGTCAAACATTCCCATAGACACACTCCTAAACCTTGTGGACAAGGCAGTTGTACAGGCAGGTGTCCCAATACTTTTGGCAATATAGTGTGTCAATGTAAGTGTGCAAGCCTGGTTGCTGCCATGTAGAGATAGGAGGCAATCGGGTACATACACTGAAAAGAAGCAGGTTCCAGTGGACAAATGCTCTTGTTTTATATAATCATTCAAATGCTCTTTAAAGTCACACTTCCTATGTTTCAATATTTGAAAGGAGAAGTACAGACAAAGCTTATTTGGCTGTACTTCTGTGGATCACAGGAGTGCAGTTCGTTCTACACTACTGTGACCCGTTTTCAGCCCGCTGTCAGCTGACGTCACAGAGCTGGTCCAGGCTTTGGAAAGATCGTGACCGCTCTCGGCACAGAAATGTTTGCATTTGCGGTGCATATATGCGACGTCTCGGCGTTAAAACCCACCTGCCGAGAGGCCAAAAACATGGCAACTTCCAACGGGAACAGGTTATGCTCTTTTGGTTTTCTATTTAACTCAATAAAACACAAGAAAACACACACATTGTAATACCATTTACTTAACGTGCACACATGAATGTGTCATACTACATGATAATATGTCCATTGATTTTAGCTGAAAAATCAATGCACACTACATGCATTCAACCTGTGGTGAGTTGGGGGGGGGGGGGGGGGGTTGTTTTTTTTGTGTTTGGTTTTTTTTTTTGTAAGGCATTGTGAATTGTTGGGTCATTGGGGCTGTCAATATATATAATTTTTTTCTTCTAAGATGGGCCTTTTATACCCCTGTAAAAGTTCATAACCCCTCGAGGTGCTAAGAGTTCATTCCTCAATAAACTAGGTGTAGCCTTTCTGATTTTAGTCATGATGAAAAGGCTACAGGATGGCAGTCTAAAAAGAATTGAAGCTCTAAGGAAAGAGCTGTAGTGCTATGAAGTGGCTTAGAGGGCTTTCTTCTTTCTTAGTGGTATTTTATTGGAGAGGTTGGCCTGCTTTGCTTGAGCCCAAGAAAGGAAAGGTGTATTTGTTTCTATTTTTTTTTTTTTTTTTTTTGAAAACTGCATTGTGAATAAATATAATACACCACACTATAAAATGAGACATAAAGATTCAAGTCTAGAAGCAGATGATTTGTGAATCCATGAAGCAGAAACCCAGGTTGTGTACTTTTTTATTTTTGATAAGCCTTTTATGATTTTATTCCAGTGAGTATAATAAATTGGCAATACATGGAAATTCTGTTTGCACTATTTCTTTCTGCCTGTTTACAGCACACAGACAGAGGGGTCTTATGTGTACAAAGAGGTGAAACTGGTTCTGGTCATGCACCTGAGGCATACTGGATGTGGAAGTGCTGAACCGCTGCATCTGCAGAGTAGCAAAGGTTACTTATATACGGCTAAGCAGTATTCGTGCTGTCAGTCTGTGCAGGTGAAGGACTCTGTTAAAACAAATTTTACCACCCTCCTGTTTTTTTTAGTCACATCCTAGAACAATTTGTCAGAGCTTTCTGTAAATTATGCTTACCGTCGTCTATTTCCAGAACCGCAGCATTTGAAAATGCACACTAATTCCTAAATTCCCCCTCCTGTTGCTGTAGTACTGTGGCAGTGTAAAACCTGCCTTTTTAACCACCTCCCACCCGCCATATAGTAATATGACGGACACAAGGTGGTTCTCTTGTTCTGGGAGGACATCATATGACGTCCTCCTATTCTAACCGCGCATGCGCAGCCCCCGGAGCGCGCGGCGATCGGCGGTGCGCTGTGTCCATCGGACACAGTGGATCACCGATTCACGGAAAGAGCCGAAGATGTCGGCTCGGTCATGTGATCAGCTGTGTCCAATCACAGCTGATCACATGTAAACAGGGAAATGCTGGTTATCGGCATTTCTCTCCTCTTGAGCTGTCATGCTGACAGCTCGAGAGGAGATCCGGTAATCGGCATTCCGCGGAGGGGACATGTACAATGATCATCAGAGCACTGATGATCAGTGTGCCCTGATGATCAGTGTAGCCCCAGCAGTGCCACCTGCCAGTGCCCATCTGAGCTGCCTTTCAGTGTCACCCAGCAGTGCCAGTCAGTGCCGCCTTCCTTTGCCCGTCAGTGCCATATATCAGTGCTGCCTTTCAGTGCCCATCAGTGATGCCTGTCAATGTCCATCAGTGCCACCTATCAGTGTCCATCAGTGCCCATCACTGCAGCCTCATTAGCGCACATCAGTGAAGGAGAAAAATCACTTATTTACAAAATTTTATAACAAAAATGAATAAACGTTTTTTTCCAAATTTTTCAGTGGTTTTTGGTTTAAGAAAAAATAAACCCAGAGTTGATTAAATACCACCAAAATAAAGCTCTGTCACAAAAAAATGCTAAAAATTTCATATGGGTACAGTGTTGCATGACCGCGCAATTGTCATTCAAAGTGCAACAGCGCTGAAACCTAGAAATTGGCCTGGGCAGGAAGGGGGTATAAGTGCCCTGTAGGCTTGTGGTTAAAGGGATACTGTTGTGAGCAATTAATGAAGGCTGCCATTATTGAATTGATGTTTGAACTTCACTGCTGTCTGACCTGCTGACTTAGAAAAGGAAAAAGAGATGAGCATGCTTTTTTAACACTTCTTTTTGCATGTTTGTTCTGTGTCTGGGACTGAAACACAGGCATCTAGCATTTTTAAGGAGTGGATTACAATGTCAGCCAACATATTTCACTCATGACAGTCGCTGTAAACCTAACTGAGCTTTGAGTTTACTTACTCTCAATACATTCTAGGTGCATCAAAGATGTGCAGAGTCTTAGAGAGAGTGTGCAAGCAGCCACAGCCTGCGTAGAAAAGAATGTCCCCTGCCAACATGCTGCATATAAGGACTGTTGCTCTGTGTGGAAGCAATGATCTTTCTTCACAGGTCACATTCCAAAGCTAGAGCTCTTTGTTTAGCAGAACTTCAGCTTCCTTCTGTGAAATAATTTCAGATAAGCTACCTTCTTACAAACCAGTAGCACCATATATGATTCAACATTACTAGATACGATCTTAAGTACTGTCAGAGTGGTAAGATCTTTTATAAGCCTCTTTTTTCAGTTGCTCAAAATGTAGTAAATTTTAGTAGAAATGGTGTGCCAGAAGTGGTTAAATGTCTTCTAGCCTATATATTCATGTACTGTGCATTAATAAATCATGTCCTGTATACCTATGTATACCCTTTGTGACCAATGGTAATGCTATTTTCAGGAGCATCATTGCATATTATTTTTTTTTTTTTTTTTTTTTTTTTTTTTTTTTTTTTTTTTTAGTATCTGTTAGGAGAGTAGTTTTTATTTTTCATGTATGGGTTTTATGCAATATTTCTAACAGTTGTTTCTTTTTAGGGTAAGATGGACTTAGAAGAGACAATAAAGGTTTGGAAGCAAAGGACCCATATTATGCGATATTTTCATGAAACTGAAAATCCACGACCCACTGACTTCCTCGGCAAATTTTTGGCGGGTCAAGACTTTTAATTTAACCTTTTTGTCTGCAGTAATAAATATATTCTCCAAATATTTGTTTGCATTTTTGTTGTGTAAAATAATCCAAAGGAAATAAAAAGGAGATAGATTTAGGTCATTTGGTCTTGTTTAAAAATTATGACAAGCATGAAAAGAGTGAGAAACAAAATCTAACATGAGTATAAATTTACTGTATGTGATTTAACAAAAAGGTTAGATTCTTAATAGAATATATGAAGTAGCTTTAAAAGAGCCAAATTATGAGAAAAGTTGAGGATGTAAGGAAATCTGTCATCAAACAAAACACCACACTGATGGAGGCAGCCATTGTCTTGCTTACAAGTTCCATGATAACCCCAAGGCAGAGAAGCACCAGTTCAGCAGTGAGATGACTGCGTGATAACTAGTGTACAGCTTGTAAAATACAGTGGCAGCATTCATAAAACTGGGTTTTAGCCTAATGCCAGATTACCTGCTCTAAGTGGAACTTGAAAACAATTATGTGATTTTTAGTTTACTTGGCTTTATGTATTCATGAAAGTAACAACTGCAGTCCTATGCGTGTGACAGGTTTGCTTCAGCCTGGAACGATCACTAATTCTCTTGTGAATTACAAAAGTGTTCTATGGCAACGAATTATTATTACTGTATAACAGCTATTTTTAAAATCTAAATGGACTGCACCATGCAAGTGTTCTAGCTAAGGAAATGCAAGCAGTAATAGGGTACCAAATATTGTCCCTCAAAATGCTGCTCCACTACAATAGAATAGCTTTCTTGTAAATATATAATATACAAAATGAATTTAACCCTAATAAATTACAACTGAACCCCAGGCAGATGTGTAAAAAAAAAAAGAGTTTTTTTTTTTTATTATTATTTATTTATATATCATAAAGCAGATAATATAATTTACATGTAATTGTGTTTGAAATTGGTCCCTGGCCACATTTCCGATTTTTTTTTTTTTTTTTTTTTTTTTTTTTTTTTTTTTTTTTTTTTAAATTTTCCTGTGCTGCCATATCCCTTGAATTCCCATAGGAGACCCTTCTGTGTGTGCTTCTGATCTGCACTACAGCTGTATGTGCTGTGGTCTGAGTGCTGCACATTGAGGCAACGGGAGAGGGACACCCAGCCACTGTCAATCATAGCTGTGAAGGAGGAGAGTTGTGGCTTTTGTGCTTTCTGTCCCTGTTGGGCTGCCAGTGTGTGCAGCATTCTGTACTCTGCATGTATAGATGTAGTACAATGCAGGGGCATGCATGTAGAGAGGTTTCTGTGGGGCTACATATGTCCTGGTGGCACATGGAACACATAGAGTAGTGTTGCTGTCGTCTGAATAAACTTTCAAAAGTAAAAGCAGAGGAGGATTTTTTTTTTTTAGCAGCAATTAATATTTTTTTTTAATGAAATACAGCACTACATTACATTTATTGTTTAATGCATTCAGGGTATTTGAAATTGACTTAATGACAACCTATCGATAAAGCAGCACAAGTAGGCCAAACATCATGCTTCCTCAAGGGTAAGCAATACACAAAACTTATTTTTTTCTATTTTGGATAATACAGGTGAAACTCGAAAAATTAGAATATCGTGCAAATGTTCATTTATTTCAGTAATACAACTTAAAAGGTGAAACTAATATATGAGATAGACTCATTACATGCAAAGCAAGATAGTTCAAGCCGTGATTTGTCATAATTGTGATGATTATGGCTTACAGCTCATGAAAACCCCAAATCCACGATCTCAGAAAATTTGAAAATTACATGCAATCAATAAAACAAGGATTGTACATACAACAATATCGGACCTCTGAAAAGTATAAGCAGGCATATGTATTCAGTACTTGGTTTGGGCCCCTTTTGCAGCAATTACTGCCTCAATGCAGTGTGGCATGGAAGCTATCAGCCTGTGGCACTGCTGAGGTGTTATGGAAGACCAGGATGCTTCAATAGCGGCCTTCAGCTCTTCTGCATTGTTCGGTCTCATGTCTCTCATCTTTCTCTTGGCAATGCCCCATAGATTTTCTATGGGGTTCAGGTCAGGCGAGTTTGCTGGCCAATCAAGCACAGTAATCCCACGGTCATTGAACCAGGTTTTGGTGCTTTTGGCAGTGTGGGCAGGTGCCAAGTCCTGCTGGAAAATGAAGTCAACATCCCCATAAAGCTAGTCTGTGGAAGGAAGCATGAAGTGCTACAAAATCTCCTGGTAGACGGCTGCGTTGACCCTGGACTTAATGAAGCACAGTGGACCAACACCAGCAGATGACATGGCTCCCCAAATCAACACGGACTGTGGAAACTTCACAATGGACTTCAAGCATCTTGCAGTGTGTGCCTCTCCATTCTTCCTCCATACTCTGGGTCCTTGGTTTCCAAATGAGATGCAAAAGTTGCTCTCATCAGAAAAGAGGACTTTGGACCACTGAGCAACAGACCAGGTCTGTTTTTCTTTAGCCCAGGTAAGACACTTCTGTTTGGTGTTCAGAAGTGGCTTGACAAGAGAAATACGGCATTTGAAGCCCATGTCCAGGATCCGTCTGTGTGGTGGCTCTTGATGCACTGACTCCAGCCTCAGTCCACTCCTTGTGAAAGTCCTCAACACTTTTGAATGGCCTTTTCCTGACAATCTTATCCAGGCTGCGGTCATCCCTGCTGCGTGTGCACCTTTTTCTTCCACACTTTTCCCTTCCACATAACTTTCTATTAATGTGCTTTGATACAGCACTTTGGGAACATCCAGCTTCTTTTGCAATTACCCTTTTGAGGCTTTCCTTACTTATGGAGGGTGTCAATTATGGTTTTCTGCACAACTGTCAGGTCAGCAGTTTTTCCCATGATTGTGATTCCTACTGAACCAGACTGAGAGACCATTTAAAGGCTCAGGAACCCTTTGCAGGTGTTATGGCTTAATTCGCTGATTAGAGTGCGACACTTTGAGCCTAGAATATTGCACCTTTTTCACAATATTCTAATTTTCTGAGATTGTGGATTTGGGGTTTTCATGAGTTTATATCCTTTTTTCACACAGATCGCTTTCTTTTGGTGGTATTTTAATCACCAATGGGATTTTTATTTTTGGTGATGATATAAATGAAAAAAGACCAAAAATTTAAAGATTTTCTACTTTTGTTTTTATTAAACATATATCCAATAAACCCAAATTTAGTCATAAATTTAGGCCAAAATGTATTCTGCCACGTCTTTGGTTAAAAAACAAAATCCCAATTCGTATATATTGTTTTTGTGGGAAAATTATAGCATCTACAAACTATGGTATAGATACTGGAATTTACGAAGATACTTTCTGACTGCCTATCAGATTTCTTGAGGTGCTAAAATGCCACAGCAGCATTAACACCCCCCAAATGACACCTTTTTGGAAAGTAGACACCCTAAGCTATTTACTGAGAGACATGTAGTCCACACAAGTTTTTGTAATTTTTTTTTTTTTTTTTTTTTAACGGGTTTGTCACTTAAATTATGTATTGCTCATACATGCCATGGGTATATGTGGAATTACACCCCAAAATATAGTTTGCTACTGCTTCAGTTTTGGAGGCCCTAAAATGCCAGGATCGTACAAACACCCCCCCCCCCATGACCCCTTTTTGGAAAGTAGAATTTGAGAAGGTATGGTGAGTATTTTGCAGATATATTTTTTGTGGCAAGATTTTGAAAGAAAAAAATCCATTTTCATTTACTTAATTTTCCAAAAACTTGTGGCAACAAATTAGACACTCCAAGTTATTTGCTAAGTGTCATGGTGAGTATTTTTGCAGATCTTTCCACAAAGGGGGCATTTGGGAAGGAAGGGGGGGTGGTTGTACTATCCTGGCATTTTAGGGCCTCCGAAACTGTGATAGGTAGACAGGAAGTGTAATGAGGAAATAAAGCCCTTTAAAAGCCTGAAGGTGCTTATTGGATTTTGGGGTCCTGTATGCAGCTAGACTGCCAAAAAGTTTCTCACATGTGGTATCCCCATACTCGGGAGAAGTAGCAGAATGTGTTTTGGGGTGTAATTCCACATATACCCATTGCATGTGTGAGCAATATATCATTTAAGTGACAACTTTGTGTTCATGTTTTTTTTTTGGTTTTTTTTTCCCCCAAAAAACTGTAGTAAAAAATAAATTCTTCTATTGTCTCAACATGCCTCTCAGCAAATAGATTGGAGTGTTATGGGGTCTCCAAGCGAGACCTTTCAGATGAGATAGTCAAAATTGATAAAGAAAGGTGCATTTATTACACTGCAGTGGAGATAATATAGCATACAGAAGTTCACCTCGTGTGAGGTGGACTAAGGTAAACAATATATCTAAACTCTTAAGCTTTAAACTGATTACAGTGAAGGAAATCGAATGGTAGGTGTATTATGATACAGAGACAGAATAGCAACAAAACTTTCAAAAGAAATGCATGTCTAACAAATGATGCACTGATTTGCATGTTCATGAGGGAAATAAGTATTTGATCCTCTATCATTCAGCAGGATTTCTGCCTACCAGGTGTCTTTCATACAGGTAACAAGCTGAAATTAGAAGCAGTCTCTTAAAGGGAGTGCTGCTAATCTCATTTTGTTACCTGTATAAAAGACACCTGTCCACATGAGCAATCAAACAGTCAGATTCCAAACTCTCCACCATAGCAAAGACCATAGAGCTGTACAAGGATGTCAGGGACAACATTGTAGACCTATACAAGGCTGGACTGGGCTACCAAACTATTGCCAAGCAGCTTGGTGAGAAGGTGACAACAGTTGGTGCAATCATTGGCAAATGGAAGAAGCACAAAACACCTGTCAGTCTTCCTAGGTCTGGTGCACCATGCAAGATCTCACCTCGTGGAGTGTCAATGATCATGAGAACAGTGAGGAATCATCGCAGAACTACACGTGAGGATCTCCAGGCAACTGGGACCACAGTCACCAAGAAAACAATTGGTAACACACTACGTTGACAAGGATTAAAATCCTGCAATGCCCACAAGGTCCCTCTGCTCAAGAAA